TACTGTTCAAGGCAATATTAATAGTCTGAAAAAAATCTGAGAGGTTTCCTGGCAGATTATGTCATACTATTTTCAAAAACCAAATAACCTCTCAGAAAAATTTCTAAAGAATTGAGACTTTTAATATCGGCTTAACCGTAGAAATCAATACCTGCCTGACTACACCAAATTTCTAACAGTGCACTACATAATAGTCCTGGTGGTGGGAATAGCCTCCTGCTACAAACATGTGTAAGTAGGCGGGTAGAAGGAGAAAAAAAGAGCAAACGTGAAAGTTTTGTGATTGGGAATTGCAAAACCAACAGAGCGAGTGGGCACTCGGCACAAGGTAAGATTTTCAAGTGGTCGAAATCATCCACCAGAACACCACCAACCATGCCAAACTTTCCCTCATCTTCTTTCCCTCCAGGCGCATTGAGTGGGAGTGAGTAGTTGAACTTGAGAAGAGCAAATGCCAATTTTTAAGGTTAACTTGACCAATCCGTCGGCCCTGTTGAATTGATGACAGGAAAAGTGAAAGGAGACACGTACACGAAGGAGAAAAAAAACTTGTGGTAAAATTCGGAACGTTGCCCATCATCCGGACAAAGAAAAAGATGTAAAGTGGTGTTGACGAAAATATTATGAATACAGTAATAATAATAGCTGTTGAGGAATGTTTTAACAGTGTTTCCTTCGGGTGAAAGTGACGACTTGTAAGAAATAACGGGGAGAAAGTGGTTTCTTGCAGGGAAATATTTGACCTGCAAGAAATGCAAGGCGCGAAAACTATGCAACGCGGCGTATAGTTCATACGCAAAGTGACTAGATGGCGCATATTTCTCCCACTTTATTGCACCTCGCATTTCTTGCATTTCTTGGAAAACCCGTAAGAGAAACGAAGCACTGCCCAAGTGTCAAAATCTCCAAGTATTTTCCCTTTCTCAAAAACCATTACCAAATATATTACCACCACCATTTTAACACGGTGATACATCCATCCACGCGCGGAGAGATTAGTAGAATTGAAAATTTCCAATTTCCCCTTTCCTCCTCCTTCAAACTTTCTTTCTGATCTTTCATCACGTCATAAATCCCAAAGTGATGAAAGGGACGTTGGTGGTATAAAGGACACAATTTCTGTGTTTCTTAATCACACGGGCACAGTTCCTACTTTCCCCACTTTTCCTATTACTCTACTTCTGAGAAGGAATCGGTGGTTCGGTGGTGAAAGCTTGTGCTTTGATCAACTCGTTTTAGTCAAGCCTTGTCACCAGTACACGGTCCACAGTGGCCGCGGAAGCCGTGGGGACATCTGGGGGACATTAACATTGTAGGATGGAGGAGGGAGGAGTTTATATAAGATGGGGAGATGATGGGGACATCGAATAACCGTGGGGACGTTGTCCCTTTGTCCCCTCGAGCTTCCGCGGCTAGTTTAGAACATTCGTATGCTGCTTTCTACCATCAGTGGCCGCGCAAAAGGTGGGGACATCTGGGGGATATTAACATTGTAGGATAGGGGATGGAGGAGTATATCTAAGATGGGCAGATGATGGAAACATTAAATAACCGTGGGGACATTGTCCCTCTGTCCCACTCTTCCGCGGCCAGATTATGACATTCATATGCTGCTTTCTACCATCAGTGGCCGTGCAGCTGTGGGGACATTAACATTGTAGAATAGAGGAGGGAATGGTTGATTTAACATGAGGAGATGATGATGGGTACATCGAATAACCGTAGCGACAATGACCCTCTGTCCCCACCCTTCCGCGGCAACTGACCGTACACACATACATTTCTGAGTTAGTCAGTTCCGTCGGATGTTGTTGGACTCGGATGTTGAACGACTTAGACTACTGAGTGACAGGCCAAATATTAAACTTTTGGTCCAAGTCTCCAGGTGGGAAATAAGGTAAAGATGACTCCGACTCGGCGGAATATTGGCCACTTACATTGCGCTGGATCCAATCTGAAGTAAAAGTCCACGAGTGAGTTCCAGGAACCACAAAATATGTATGCATAAAGTTGACGGATCTACCTCGTTAAACGAATTGGACAACTTTTTACAAAATTGGAATAAGTGAAACAAATTTAACTCTTTCTCTTCTTTTTTGCATACCATTTATCCATCGTATGAAGAAGAATGTCAGTGACAAATGGTGCATTTTGCAATAAAAAAAATGCATAAAATTTACCCGGGAATGTAGCGTTTGTCACTTGTATTCAACGATGACAGAACAATACGAGACACATAATAGCCCATAATTTCATTTCAAATCTATAAAACTTACAATGCGACCCTTTCTTAAGGTACATCGGGATTTTTTAGCGAGTTATATCAAAAAATCAAGGTAAAAATTAGACACTTATTTTTCCCTTTGAAGACAAATATTTGCGACGAAAGTTTATTATAAGGCAATATTTAGGAAAATTTTCGCTCGCTTTTCCTCCACGGGGCGAAAACCAAGGCGGACGTATGAACTTTGCCGCCAATATTTTTCTTCAAAGGGGCCATTCAATTAAAAGATAAGGTCATGTGACTACTAATTTTTGACCTGATTTTTTGATATAACTCGCTAAAAAGTCCAGGTTGAAGAAGGATTCCATTCATTGTTAGCTCTATCTGACAAAATTTAATTTACGGGGTAAATCTTTTAAGATAATTTATAATTCATAAGCATTACTTGTTATTTTACTTTTACTTTTGGGGAAATGTATGAAAACGTTATTTTTTGGACTGTTTAATTTGCACCCTAAAAAATATATCAAACCTACCCGGGAATGCACGTATGTAGCGATGTAACTTATGCTCAATAATCACGGAACAATACCCGTTAACGAAATACCCCAACACACCGATCATTTCATTCCAAATCTATAAAACTTAACGCTCCCCGACCCACAAACGAGGAGTACGTACTCTTTCATTACAGGTCTCCTCCACCTAGAGCTGATTCCTACGGATGATGGGCCGTGGAAACACTACACTGCAACACGACGCATCTTCTCCCGTCTTGGGAAAAGCCTAGTCATAAATCAAATTTTCTTCAGTCTCAACCACCCCGGGAAATAGATGACAAGCAAGATTTCACGATTAGGTTACCGTATTTGTACGCTTTCTCTCATCACCAAGCCACCCACCTACCCAGACGTGAATGTATACGTATCTGGTTAAGGAGAAAGTACGGGTGTAATAAGGGAAGAGAAATTACGAAGGGACTTTCCACCAGCCGCGGTGGGAATTGTTGCAGCAAGTAAGAAGGTCTAAAAATAACCCAATTTTATAGTAAATGAAACAGGTGAGGATGTATATACATAACTAACAATGTGATGGTGCGAAGTGTAAGACTCAGATTTGGTGGAAATTTTGGAATTATGAAGTTCAAGTCAACGTTTCTTGAGGAAGTTTGTGCGATGGTTGGAATTTGTAAAAATATTTGAGGTGAAAGTTGGAAAATGGGCGATTTTTCCCTTCGGCAGGGGAGTTTTCGTAGTAAAAATCGCACATTTTTTAAAACTTGACCTCAAATATTTTGACGAATTCCAACCATCGCACAAATTTCTTTGGACTGCAAAATTTCAAAATTTCTGACTAAATCTGAGTCTTACACTGGACACCATCGTATCATAAGCAAAGAGAAAGTTGACAGCATTGCTGATTACCGATATGGACCCTCATTTCACCCAATGATCCTGTCTTACTCCTATGATATTTGCACCGTACGAGTTAAAGTTGAAGTGAAAGCTGGAGAAAGCTGAGCCTTTGGTAGTATAGAAATCAGAGAAAGTAAATGTTCCGTAGTCAATTGGGTAAAGCAAAATGTGAGTTTTGGCTTATCCCCCTCCTCTCATTTCGAGACGCAAGAGTCATCCATCACCTCAAAATGAAAATGGGAGACCGACCCGGTACCCGGGTTTTCTCCGGAGAGAAGGAAGATGTCATGCCAGTCCGGGATGGAGAAACGGATGTGGGATCCACAAACAGAACTTATTGAGACAACGGTTAAAGTAGCCACAAGGGAAATATGCTTGATGGGTATGCAATTACAAACAAATAAAACACGTGTGCCTACTTATTTATTGAGCTGAATCTAATCGCACATAATTTACTACCATTAAGCAAATATTAATAGTCTTGCAAAATTTTCTGAAAGGTTATTTGGTTTTTTGTAAATATTTTGAAATAATCTGGCAGGAAACCTTTCAGATTTTTTTTAGACTATTAATATTGATTGAACAGGGACAATATTTGTTTTCATATAGCAATCATCAAGACTGAGGAACTTATGCAAATGAGACACATGTATACATAATTTACATAAATACATTTGCATCTCTACTTTCTCATTAGTTTCCACCTTAACATAAAGACCTCCTTCTAGCTTCCTTAACTTTTAAAGGACTCGCTTACTTTCCCCAGATATCTCACTCCTCAACTTTCACTCATACATAATCCACTCTACTCTACTTTCACCAACTTCTCTCCACTCTACGTCGTAAGAATATAATTAGAATAATTCCCCGAGTGGTGGTTTGGTTGTCTCCAAAAACAAACCACCACAAACGGAAAACACTGCATAGACGGGAGAATGCGAATTCTCGGTTAATGTGGGGCAGTCGGGTTCACAACCTCACTAGCCAGGTAGTTGGCTCACTCTAATAATCCTAACCTACTACCCGACCATCCACCCACCCACGTCCACGTCCACGTCCACCTGGACATAACCCAGCCAAACTCACCCACCCCGCTTTCCCCAGCATATATACACCTCGTCCGAATCCTGTATGTACTGAACCCAGTATTTTGAGACTGGGGCTGGTACTGCCTTCCAGAACAGGGTGGAGCAAGTTATCCCATTGGTTCCCCCCGTCGTCATGCCAACGTCCCAGGATGAAACACTCGTTTCGATTTTTTTCCTAGAGTATATATTCACCAAGCCAAGTTAAAAGCCTGGTTCGCTCTCTCTCTCTGTTGCCTTTGAACCTCGGTTGTTCCGTCGGGTTTCGGAGTGAACTATTCCTCGGTTGTTGTGGTTCAGTCAGATCATTTCAGAACAGAGCGAGCTCTCTTCTTCAGCTCCTCGTGTCTTTAAATTGCAGAGAGGTCTTAAAACCTCCCGTGTGTTGGTTTCCTCTTCGCCTCAGTCAGACTGCTCTCCTCGCAAAGTTCGGGTTCTTCTACAAGTTTTTCTCAGCGAAACTCTGACTGACTGACTGACACACATTTCCCCACTTTTCGTGTGCTACTACTACTCTCTCGCTCTGCTATGGACTCGCGTTTCTAGTGAGGGAGAGACACGTTCCTCTTATTTCTGCATAGAACAATCTTCTGCAATCTGCAGATTCTTCTTTAAAACAACGTTTTTAAAGCCTGTGACGGATCCCGGCTGGTGTTTGGTCACACGAAAGAAGAGAACTTTTTAAATAAACATTTCTCTCTTAACTAAACCACTTTTTGTTCTTTAAAAGAAAGTTTTTTTTTCTTAATATTTCAAAATAAACATGTGAAATTAACCATTTAATGGCTACTACCACCACCACCACCTGTTATGTATCCGCGATATATTGACATTATCATCCGCGAGTGGGTGGAGGTGGAGGAATAAATTATTATTGTGGTGAAAGTACTTTCTTACAAAACAATGACGTAGCTTTAAGCGTCCGCACAACTCATCAGTACCAGTTCCACTTCTACTACCCAAAATACCCGACCAGTTTGTACCCTATACAGGAAAACTCTTCTATATTGCATGGAAGAGAAAGCAGCAGCCGGACAATGTGTGTGCCTCTTTGGCATTCAGTTGCATGAAAAATTCACCATCTTCTTCCCTCCCAAGAAGAATAATAATCGTGCATAGGTGTGCTTTCTCCTCGTCTTCTTTCCCACCGCCACAAAATGGGTTTATGAACGATTGCTTTCCCCAGGAGGAGGAAATTCTTCTTATCACAAGGAGCAGCTCATCTAACACAAAGTAGGAATATTATTGCGTCGAGACAACATTTTCTTCTCTTTCTCCCTGTACAGCAGGTGGTCAAAGTGGCCTCGACGGGGAAGAAATGTGCGACGAGCCAGTAATTATTAATCCAGATGAAGAAGAATGCTTAAAGGATAGGAAATGGTGGTAAGTTTAATTCTGGTTTGATAAGGTCATCTGCATGAATGCTCTATGTATTTTGTTGATTACGTCAATGTCAATTTTGGGGGTTCAATTTGTATATGCATGAATTTTGAGGAAGGAGCACGAGACGGGATGAATCAGTCATAAATTTCTTGTCGTATCTTATGAGATGCGTGGTTGACAATTGATTGATTAGAATGCCACCGATTTTTGTCATTTGTAAAAAAAAGTTGACAAATTGATCGTATCGATTCGGTTTATATTTTCGAAATACAATGAAAATTTTCTTAAAAATGAGATGAACATTTACTCAAAATACTTATCACAACAATCGTTCATGACTTTTTCATGACATTTCAAACTTAGAAAATTGCTATAAAACAGAACCATGATTAAATTAGGTGTATTCTTCTCTCAAACATTTTTACAGTGACTCATAAGTAACGCGTCAGTTCGGTTTATTTTTTGGGAACACATTTTCTCAAAATATTGATCACAACGAATTTTTATGATTTTGCATTTTAAAATTCCATTAAACAGAGCCACGATTAAATTCGTCCCCATTCTTTCAGGTGCTTTCTCCTCTCAAGCATTTTCACGTTTATCGCTGGTCTCGCAATTGTTCTAATATGGAGGTAAGCGACTTTATTAATTTAACCAATATTTAAACCAACAATTAATTAACCCTTTAACGTGTATGATTAACGACAAGAAAATGCATTAAATCGGGGACAATATAAGTATGTTGTGGTCATGGCACGGGAGGAGAAATTCAGGAGTTTTTAATAAAACTGGAAAAACTGAAAAATCAAAAATTTAACATTGCGTTGTATAGGGAAATATCCAAATTTTTGGGAAGAAAATCTTCAAATTTAGCATTGTGTTGGCATAGGAGAAATCCCTCAAAATTGCAACAAATTTTAGGTCGCGGAGAGAAAATGGTGAAAATCAATGACCTCCTAGAAACGACAATTGTCGTCCTTCCGCGCCATGACCACGATTTTTCAGGACGACTTTAGTCGTACTCCCGAATTAAGCCATTTCTTATGAAACGACTATTGTCGTCGTTACAGTTTAAAGGGTTAAAATTTTGTGAATTTAATCAATTTAGTGAATAACAAATTTAATTACGATAAGATAAAAATAAAGTAAATTAATTAAATCTGCCCCGTGTGGCGTCGAGTTCAATGATCTAATTTTCCCCCTTTTCTTAGGGCTCTGGCCTTTATATGCTGTCGCAAAGGAGGAAACGACTACTCTCCGCCGGGTCAAATGACCGACCCGAAAATGGCCAAGCCCGGAGAGCAAATCGTCCCTGTAGGACCAGTCCAGCCAGGAATGAAACCTGGACGACAGCAACAGCAAGAATTCGAGGCCAGCTTTATGACAGAGGTACGAAAAACAGTTAAAATGACATAAAAACCTATTTTTAATGATCACTCTAAAAAAATAGGCAAAAGATTGGGCCGGAGAGCTCATCAGCGGCCAAACCACGACTGGTCGAATTCTGGTGAGTACCTTGTAACCCTTGCTTTCTCCACGTAGGAGTCATATTTTTCCAAAAGTGTGCCATTTATTGGACACATTTGTCAATTTCTTGCATAAATTCTGCCACTTATTGTGCATATTTGCCAATTTATTGCACACATTCTGCCATTTGTTCCATATGTGCAAACTTATTAACATTACGTCATCCCAATTTTTTAAATCAGCAACAATGCTAATCATAATTATCCTCTTTCGCCAAAACTGTTCCATTTATTTTACACATTCGCCAATTTATTGCATACGGAGATACACATATTGTGCAAATTTATTGGCATCACTCCATCCCAATTTTTTGCATCATCAGAAATACGCAATCATAATTATCTTCTAACGCTCAAACACAATTTACCCCTTATAAATCCAAATTCACCCTGAAAATGCCTATAACCAAATCCAATATCGGCAAACGGAACACTTTCCTTTCTCCCAAATTGGACCACCTTTGGCACACCGTTCCCATAAATCACTCTCTGGCCGAAAGGGAGCCATAAAATTAAACGGACTTGAGATGATCAAATGAAACAAAAGTTTTCAACTCGGTCGGGCTAAAAATAAGTATTTGTACACTCCACACAAATACATAATCTACCACACAATTCTGCATATAAGGGACATTTTGAGAGAAAGTTTACCCCATAAAAACTGACTTGGCTATAAAATGATTTCCTAAAAGAATAGAAACACAAATAATTGAGTACACGGTGTATTTCCTCGTTTTAAATTATTTATGCAGTTATTGAATCATTTATAATCTCCTAAAGTCAGTCAACTCAAGTCAACATACCTATTTGTACACTCAAAATAAGGTAGTAATGAATCATTACCATGCTGAATGACTATGTGTCTCTACCACGTCGGTTACGATTTGTCGTAGAGATGGTAATAATAAATTCAGGGAAATTCAAATTCATTACCAAATATTAAGGAAGTGAATACCATTATGTATTAAAGTTGAATTTCCCTGAACTTATTATTACCATTTCCACGACAAATCGTAACCGACGTGGTAGAGACACATAGTCATTCAGCATGGTAATGATTCATTACTACCTTATTTTGAGTGTATTAATTTCCAGTAATAAATATACTCCAAAGTGGAAAGTTGTACGCTTATCATCCGCCATCTAACAAACAAAGATTACGTAACGTAACGTTCTGTGTATAAAACTAAGAAGAAATTACCGTCGTGCTTAAACGGTTATTAATTATATACTCGGAAGTCTGGGAATAATTATAGTTTTATGTGCTAAATAGCCTAACGTCCACCTTGTTACATATTCTAAAATGCATACATTTTCAGGATCAGATTTCATGTAGCTACTCACACTTAAATTATATTTAAGCGAGTACATGAAGATTTGCACTTTGTATTAAATCCACTGCTAAATGTGCACCAAAGTTAAGGTAGATATCAAGAAAAGCTGAATTGTGCACAGTGGTCGCGGAAGCTGTGGGGACATTAACATTGTAGGATAGGGGAGGGACGGGTTTATATAAGATGGGGAGATGATGCGGACATCGAACAACCGTGGGGACATTGTTCCCCTGTCCGCGGCCACTGATTGTGCCAACTCGTGTGCCAATTATTGCATGTCTCCAAGAAATTCGCTCCTGTTGGCAGAAGAAACGACGGTCGGAAACTCGTGCACAATTCTGATTCGAAACTTCCCCAATCGCTTTTATCTTTATCTCGGATCTGTAAACGGTCCGTGTTATTATATTCATAATAATCCCGACCAGTCCGAGGAGTCAATTTCGCTCGGGCCGACCGACCTACTTTCTTTCATTGCCTCCTCTTTCGTCATCACCGTCATCATCATCAGGATACTATAAAAGACGAGCATTATTTATATGACTTACGTACAAGGGAGGTTCATCAGCGAATGCTGTCAGATTTTGGGTGAATTAGTGTGAATCGATGGCAAATTTAGTTAGTATGAAATTTGAGAAAGACACGATCTCCCAATGGGCACGTTTGGCCGAGATATTTGCATCCGAAGAGGAGAAAATGCGCCGTAAAGTCGACAAATTTGACACTTTCTAAATTTACCGCGCGCTTTCTCCTCTTCGGATGCAAATATCTCGGCCAAACGTGCCCATTGGGAGATCGGGTCTTTCGCAAATTTCATCCTAATTAAATTTGTCATCGATTGACACTAGTTACCCAAAATCTGAGAGCATCAACTCTGAGACCTCCCTTGTTAGAACTGACTTGACCATCCATTTCCATCCATTTTACTTTCTCAGCCCAATTTCTCCCTCTAATAAATCCATAATCTTGCCACGGCCATCATACTTTGCCAAACTATTATTCGCAACAAAGGTCACATGTTTTTGTTGTCTTTGTGTAGCAAATAAATGGCCACATTACAGGAAGTAATTAAATCCATTGTTTGCCAGATGCATACATTCAAATTCTTATTTCTGTCCTTGTCAGTAAACAAAAAGTAAGCATTGTCCCGAATTTATGTGATATTTACAATGTTAAAATGCATCATTTTGCAAATTACAGACAGAACCTCTTTGTAAATAAGAAGTAAGCATTGTGCCGAATTTATACGTATTTACAATGTCAAAATACATCATTTTCCCCTCACAAACACAAAGTTTACTGCAAATTTAACTTCCATCATTACTTTTCCTTCCTATTAAATAGTTTACACAAAGAAAGAAAGCGCAATTGTCATTTTTATTGTAAGAATGGATGAATATTTACAATACGACAAAACTCTCGTAAAACTCGGGATCCAAAAGTTTACGAACGTCCTTTGTTCTGTGTATGTCGTGATTTCGCAATATTAACCGAGCAAAGATAAGAAGTCAGATTGGGACAAAGTCTTGTATGTATACGAGACGTGTCTCTCCTCCCCTCCATCCATAACGAACTTACTTGTGCACTGTGTTATTCTACATGCCATTCGATAAATCGTAGAAAAGGGGGCATAGCTCGTGTTCAACTTTTTGTATGTACAATAAACTAATGATGAGTTTATTGCTGCTATCTCGCAGGATTTAGCTATAAATCCATACGAGAAAAGTTAATTATTGCTTTTTCACCCGGTTTTGATAACATCTTTTCATAATATTTTCTCCATGGTGGTTCAGAGTTGACTAGTAGAACGCGGCGTGTCTTATCATTCGTATGGATGAGCGAGAGGCTTTGTTCTCATAAATAAATGGTGGGAAACGAATGTATCAAAGTAGCTTCAGTCTCACTTCACCCCTACCAGCGCAGGAAATTCACTATATGCAATTTCAAGAAAAATCTCATTTTGCCCCGACCACACCTTTTGACTAGTGGGGGTGGTCCGATTGGTTGCTCCCCTTGGGGTCGCATGTATGATGCCGCAAGTCGATTTCGATTATATCGATCCGTTCTCCCGTTATCTTGCTGACGGACAAAGTAACGGACAGACAGACGGACGAAGTCTTCACATTAAGTAGCTGAATTAATAATCTGGAAGAAAAGAGAGGAGCATTGCATTCTGATCCGATCCTGGTATCTTCTTTCATTATCTTATTATCCAGACGGACACCGTGAAGAATTAGCTCCAGTTGATCTCTGACTAGTTTCAGATTCCAACAAGGAGATCAAGACTAACTCTTGTGGGAGTTGTATTTGTTTCCCTCATAAAGTTTTGTACGTAGCAACCAGTGGCCGCGGAAGCCGTGGGGGCATTAACATTGTAGGCTAGGGGAGGGAGGGGTTTATATAAGATGGAGACATCGAACAAGCGTGGGGGCATTATCCCTCTGTCCCCACCCTTCCGCGGCCACTGTTCGCCGTTTTTTCACAGCCCAACGGCGACATCGATACTCCGGGTGCATTGTCTAGTGTGTAAAAAAAAAGGTTGTAAAATTATGTCGCGAGGAATCTTCCGTTTCTCTTTCGTTCTTGTAAAAGTTTTCGTTGGTGATCTCATCCTCCTCTTGATTGTGTACTCTGCGAGAAATTCCGGTGTATTGTGTACATACTGCAGCTCCTTGTCGTGTTTATTATGTTTTTCTTCTTACTTTTCGAGTCTAGTCACTGTATGTACATATGCATGTGTTAATGTTAATGTATGTACAGACGATGGGCGTAAGTATTTTGCGAGTGCATTGAATGAAGGAGGTACGTACGTATCAGAAAGTAGAGATAACATTGCAATGACGGAACAACTCTGAGGTGCAGGGTTTCATTTATTGCGGGTTGCTGCATTTCTTGCAGTCTAAAGCAAGGAATGGGAGAAATACGCGGTGCAAGAAACTGAGAGAAAGTGCGAGAAATATGCGCCATCTAGCCACGCGCCGTATGATGTATAGCGCCGGAGCGTAGTTTCTAGAGCCTTGCATTTCTTGCAGGTCAAAATATGTGGCTGCTGAGTGAACTACATGGGGCTTATCCATATATTACGTCATCAAAAATTCTCGATTTTATCACCCACCCACCCAACGTAAACATTAAGGGATAGGGAATTTTAACATGGGAAAGATAGGAAGACCAAAACCACCCACCCACTAAAATGATGACGTAATATATGGACGTTCCCATGTAAGAAATAACGGGGAGAAAGTGGGTTTTTGCAGGTAAATATTTTGACCTGCAGGAAATTTAAGGTGCAAGAAACTATGTCCCGCCGCTAAACTTCATACAGCGCGTTGCTAGTTGGGACTTATTTATTGCACTTTTTTGCACCTTGCATTTCTGCCGATTCTTCCTTTTCGGTGTAAAAAATAATGTAATTGTCAAATCTGCAAGAAATTTAGCAAATCTGCAAGAAATTTAGCAAATCTGCACGAAAAATCTGTAAAAATCAAAAATCTTATATCTAAAATTTTAAATCTGTAAGAAACGAAACCCTGCTTGCATCCGACCCGAAACACTGCTTCTGTTATGTCGCTTGGTGGGCTGGGTTTCTGCCAAGATTCTGGAGAGCTCCGAACTAAAGTACACAACAAGATGATGTCGAGAGAGAGACA